CATGTTTGTGATTGGTGAGAAGAGAGACGCGGTGTCGGCCGTTGCTTTGGCGTTGCAAACTGATTGTGGCATGTGCGTGCGTATAGTTGATACACTTTGTCATTTACCTGTGAGGCAATTAGGAGGTGAATCGTAAGTAAATTATTCTGCTTTTTGTAATAAACTTTCACGAATTAAGATATAATTCGTATCACCTGACGATTTTGCTGTTATATTAGTTATTAGAATGTATGAGAAATATAATGTGCATTTTTGTCATTTTTCCTGTGGTCATTTTCCTGTTATTTTCTTGACAGGAAAATGACTCCGTGGCAGGAAAATGACAACACAAGGTAAGTAATGTTATTAATTTATTGTAATTTTGTTTCAGTGTGCAATAATTATGGCTCCAAAGAAAAAAGCCCCAGAAGAAGTGTTAGAAAGAAAGCGAGAATTGGAGAAAATGAGATACCAACAAATCAAGAACGATAATGAACAAAGAAACGCATTGAAACAAAAGAAGAAAGAATACTATTTAAAAAGAAAAGCGGAGGGTAAAATTAAAAACATTGCTGAATTAACTCCTCGGTGTAAAAGAGCCAAAAGAAAAGAGTGGCGAAAAAATACAGCAAAATATAGGGAAAAGAAAAAAAATCTTTTGGCAAACACTGCTTTATTTCAAGAAATGACAACTCCACCACAATCTGATAATGAAGTCTCTATGAATGATGAGAACATAATTCCAGTCGTACCAGAGTTACCAGTTTTAGATGGACGAATAATAGAAGGCCGTAGGAGATCAGAAATAAATAAACGTAAAAAAACGTACTGTTACAAGAACAGGGCAGAATTATAAATAAGTTAAAAAAAACACCAAAAAATTATTTCTAAGATGGAGATACAGTGCAAAAAAGACAGTCCGAGAAACAAAACCAACGAAATTATTAAAAAGGGGGATATAACCGAAATAAAGAAGAGACTGTTATTCAGTGAAGTTATGTCAAAACAGCTATCTCAAAATTATACCAAACTTGGAAGTCATGCTGAAAAACAGGTATTTGCCAAAGCTATTTCTGGAGATGTAGTTAAGAAGTATAAAGTCCTGTCCAAACAACATGTTCTACCTGAAAAAAGAGAGCGTAAAGTGCAATTGGAATCAAAATTATTAAATATACAGAGGAAAAACAGATCTAATAGAATTTTAGAAGATGTGAAAATGAATATCATTAATTTCTTGGAACAAGATTGCAACAGTCGTATGTGTGCTGGAAAAAAAGAAACTGTAACAAAGAAAAAAGTAAAGAAACAGAAAAGGTACTTATTAATGACTAAGAAGAAGCTACGTACAATATATGTTAAAGAAAATGGAAACATATCTTACAGTGCGTTTTGCCAATGTCGTCCATTTTGGATTGTTAAACCTCATGTACAGGAACGTAATACTTGTTTGTGTATGATACATGCAAATTTCGACCTATTAATTCAATCTTTACATCAGTACAATATATTAACTGTACACAGCACTGAACATTTTTTGGAAGCAGTTTGCTGTGACAAATACAATGAAGAGTGTACAAGTCGCAAATGTAAGAATTGTAAAGATCGAAAAATAGTTTACGGAGAATTCGACAATAATATCAAAATTAATGTTATGAAGTGGGAAAATGTATGTGAACAGGTCTTTTTAAAACGAACCGGGAAATACAAAAGCGTCAAGAAAATATCGAAAGTTAATCACACCTTGAATCCCTACGATGTTGTCAAACAATTCGAAAATGTTGTCCCCATCTTCTTAAACCATCATACAAATATTGTTCATCAGTATGCTGCCATAAAGAAACTTAAAGATAATATGTCTGAAAATGATGTACTTATTCATGTTGATTTTAGTGAGAACTACGCTACAAAATATAGTTCAGAAGTGCAAGCTTTTCACTTTGGACTTTGGAGGTTCGAGAAGTCAAATATCTCTACACAATTATACGAAAACAACAACAAAAAGTTTCTGTACTATTTCCGAGTTCTTATATCATGATGCGTATGCCATATGGGCTCACCTTCACCCTATATTTGATTGGATTTCCACAAATTTAAAATCTGTAACAAATTTGCATTTTCTTAGCGATGGGCCCGTTACCCAGTATAGGAATCGGTTCATGTTCTTTATTCTTGCAAACAGACTTAAATATTTTTATGAAAATTACACTTTCTTCTCTTGGAACTATAGTGAGGCTGGGCACGGAAAGGGTGCCCCTGATGGTGTTGGAGCCGTTTGCAAACGCACTGCCGATCGAATGGTTGCTTTAGGTGAAGACTTAGTCGATATAAAAAAATTACAAACGGTTCTAGAAGAAAACTGTCCCAACATTAAAATTATAACAGTGACGCAACAAGATTATGAACAATCTCAAATTAATTATTGAAAGTCATCTAAGCCTTATGCGGGAACTTTAAAAGTCCATCAAGTAATTGTTACCAATTAAAGATAGCTTCAAATTAATAATGAAATTCTTGAGTTGCTTTTGTGAGAATATGTTTAGCTGCGAACATTATTTGATGGGCACTTTGAATTATGTGGATAACGTCACTGCTAAAAAGGCTAAACACATTTACACAAGTTCAGAGTTAGAGAATGAACGCGAAATTCAAACACCCAAAGAAAACATCGATCCAAATACTTCAAGTATAAATTTTGATGCTGTTGAAGATCACGTTGCGACAACTAGCTCATCTAACATTCTAAGAAAAGAAAATGTAACTTATCACAATGGCGACTATATTCTTGTTAAATGTAGCTCTAAAAATACAGAATATAGATATGTTGCTGTGTGTATGGGAGAAGTAGATGAAGAAGATGGCGAAATTAGAGTTACATTTTTAAAAACCACTGGTAATGATGGTAAACTATTTAAAATTGATGATAATTGCTATGATCTGCCAGTTGAAGATATACTTCTGAAGTTACCTCAACCTTCTTTATTACTCAAAGGAGAACGTATTTTTTATAAGTTCCCAAATGCTTTAGATGTATTCAAAAAATAGCTTTGTTGTCGGGTCTTCCTCTTGTTCTATAAACTATTTTTAATGTTATTTTTGTTACTTCTAAAAATGAAAAACATTATTTCTGTTTTTTTTTACTATTATTAAAGTTGAAATGTTTAAACTAATTATATTATTATAGAATGATACATTCTTCAAGTAACTGATTAAAAATTCTGTATTTGATTTAGCTATTCATAATTACTCTTAAATGAAAAAATATTACTTATTTGTTGATTATTGAATACAGGTAGAATATAAAATAAAGGTACAAGGAAAGAGGCGTGATGTTTTATATATATTGATTAATAAAGTAAGTTAAATTTCTAAATAAATCTGGTCAAATATATTACTTACTGAATATAATTGTATTTTCTATAAAACTTTAAGAAGAGTGATATAATTTTGTTTTCTGTTATACTGATTATTATTATTGGATTAATAATGAATAAAATAATTACTCATAATGAATTATTTTCATTTTCTTGTCGTTTCAATCATTTTCCTGGTGTCCTGTCATCAGTCTGTGGGTCCATTTCACTACTCCTGCCACTAGTGCCATTTTCTTGTTCTGTATGTTTGCAAATATTGCTCAAAAATCCCTAAAATCGAATAAAGTGTATCGATTTGATAGTTATTATATAGATTTAACTTGGCTCTATTACTTAGACGTCAATTATGTTTAAATACGACAAAAAAAAATTTTTTTTTGTAGTCGTTTTCGACCGATTATCAAATATTGACTCAAAAAGTAAGCATAACTGATGAAATAAAACATATTTTTTTAAGTATTTTTATTGTAGGTACTAATAAATCAAACAATATAAAATCAGTAATAAAATCTATTTAATAGATCATTCATGAATAAACTAAAATAAGAATAATTAATTATTTTGTATGAGAGTTAACACGTTGTTTTTATTATAATTTCCAAATATTTAAAATCAGAGGTAACAAATTAACTTACTCCATTAATTATATAGTCTATTAATGTGGGATAATCACAAAGGCGGAAAAGTGGCAATATTGAACCTAAATCGCAATATTCAAATATTTTTATTTAATAATTATTTGAGGTTTTTACGTTTATATGAAAACATGAACTAAAACTTATGAGTGGAAAATGATTCCGCTTGATTTATTATGTTTTTATGACCTTGAATCGCATTCTTTCACTACGCATTTACCCATTTTTTTGTCGCGGATAGTTCGGCTCAACTCGGTCGGCGTCACATTGAACACTAAACTGACGTTAGCTAGGAATATGGCTGTGGCCATATGTGCAGTGGCAACGCTTTGGCGCGGTAATTACTTATCTAGTGTAATATATACATCAATGTAATGTATTATGTTATGTATTGACAATGTTGAGGGTAAAATTGTAATATATGTGGAAGGTATATTTGATTAAATGAGTTTGTTTTGCAACTTGATCTGGCGTGTATCTTTTAATCTTCAATTATGAATCAAAATGCAGATGCGTTATCAACCCCTGAGAACTGTGATGGAATATCTGGTTTTCAGTAAAAAGGGTCTCCAGTTCTCTACACTCACCACATAAAACAGCTGCATTAAGCTGCTATTTTACGCTGGTATTCTGTGAGAGCGTGGTTCTACCGTGATTGAACCGACCCATTTGTGCTGCAACCACAATATCGTATATATTGATGCATGGCTCTACCTGCATCATCAAAGGCATTGCTGCTTTTTTATTTCTACATAAGACAAACTACTAAGCATTCGCTGTATATTTTAAAGTACACGAGTAACCTGAGTTCGATGCCCGCCAGCGTCAAATGTAAGGAAACCTGCATGTCTGAGAAATAAGAAAAAAAATATTTTGAGGACATGTGAAGTTTGTCAACACACATTGCGGCTCTTAAATGTGAAGAGGCTTGTGACCGGCCAGCAGTGATAGTTATATAGGCTGTAAAATTACTTTTACTATTGTAAGACTAATGAGTATACCATGTGTACGTCAGAGAGGAGTGGGTGGCGGCGATCCGCTACGTGGCGTCGCAGCTGAGCGGGGGCGCGGCTGTGGTGGCGGCGGGGGGCGGGGCGGCGGGCGCGGCCGGCGGCAGCGCCGCGCTGCCCGACGCGGACGACCGCGACATCGCGCAGCTCGGCACCAGCTTCCGCGACCCCAGGCGAATTGTGAGCACCCCTATATTCTCTTCATAAACATAATCATAAACACACAGAACGGTAGGCACGATCCTGACACTCCCCCCCGTTACCTTTGTTTTATAATAAGTTTTATCTTATATCTGTTATCGTTGAATGCATAGAATACTATAATACACAATAGAATGGCTGTCAACCTTATTTATTATACAAGCAATTACGTTGTATTAAAAGTTATCACTACTACAAACATATTTTAGACTTTTGATTAATGTTTTTGACACATAAATATTTCTTTATTTTTGTTTCTAATATTCACAAAATATAAATAGTTTCGACTTACTGGTTGTAGAATATGTCTCCTTTATTTAAATTCCATTTCCCGCTGGTCAATTTCGACACGTAATTATTGCACAATTTGCCATTTTTTAAATAATTTGCATGCAGCGACGCTTGACACGAAAATTGGAAACGATTGATTGTGTTGAAATTTATATGTGTGAATTGACATGTTAGTGGCTACACGGGCTCCGCCCACTCCCCCGTTCTATTATGTATGTATTATAGTTTTCTATGGTTGAATCCTTCTGATTCATATCATCAAGTTATCTTGGCGTTAATGATGTTTGGGATTTATAGTGTCCCCACACTGTTCTTGTATCTCTGTGCTGCCTTTAAGAAAAATCTATTAATATTGTTGCGCGCCATAATGGATGCCACTAGCGCTATCCAGTATCGAGTAGCAGTACTAAGAGAGCTTTGTAGAAAATTCGTTGCTAGAAATTTCCCACTAGCGCAATCTAGTATCGAATGGCAGAACTAGGAGAGCTTTCTAATAAATTCCTTGCTAGAACGTTCGTATTCTACTTGAACATTCTAGATGTTTTCAGTGAAAAAGATCCAATATAAAGTCGGTAAAGAGTACAATACATATTGAATTGGCAATACAAGTGAAGACTTCGGAGCGAAATAAAGTGAACTAAAGTGTTAAGTGTGATTAATTATTAGTGTGTTTTAAGTTTTCATTGGTGTTCGGTAATTAAAGTGTCAATTTTGGTAATTCAATCGGCAGTTTTTCTTGTCACGAACCCTAAGCTCGTAACAATTTGATAATGATTAATTGATTAGTGATTAAATTGCTCATGCTAATAAGACTAACTATGACATTGGGACGTCAGACATCTCAGTCCCCCCGTGACGAATTAAAAATAAGATAAAATAAGTAAATTAAACACGATAGAATCCGTATACAGTGGATCCCTGGTAATCCGGCCTATCCGAACAGACCCGACGGTTGGAAGATCAGCAGGTGGAACAGACCCACCGACAGGAGGACCAGGCTCGTCGACAGAAGAAACAGGCCCGTCGATTGGAAGAGCAGCTGCAGCGCGGACAGAAAGAACAGATCCGTCGGTTGGAAGATCAGCAGGCGGAAAAGGCCCGTCGACAGGAGGAACAGGCCCGTCGTTTGGAAGAGCAGATGCTCCTGAAGGTTCTTCATGTTACCTGTTACGTTACGGGAAAGAGATAAGGGAGGTGAAGGATAGGGTTGCTCAATATGACAACCGCCTGTCGGAAGCTGAAACCCGAATCGACCAAGTGAACAACGTGATGGTCGACATGAAGAAAATGCTGGACGACCTCAAACTTGGAGATGGACAGGATAGTTACAACACCTTCGCTACGTGGATTCTAAGTGCCGCCGTTCGACGGGACTTCTTCGTGGCCGGCGTACAAAATCCAGTTTGAGGCTGCCATAGAGGTGAACAGCTGGAATAAAAGACAGGCCGTGACTGCACTCACCCTAGGCCTACGCGATCAAGCCTTAACAGTTCTGGAAGCTCTCGGTAAGAAAGTGACTTACGAGCAGCTCCTTAAGGCATTGGAGGCGAGCTATGGCGACGCTCACCTGGAAAACCGTCTTTCGTGTGCAGCTTAAAGATCGCGTGCAACGCAGCAACGAAAATCTGCAGCAGTAGGCCCTGGAGGTGGAGAAGCTTGTTCGAAAAGCATATCAGTCTGTACCTGCGCTCATTGAAGGGAACTTGGTGCAGACATTCATCGTCGGTGTCCGCGACCTTGAAGTCAGAGCTGCTGTGAGGCTCGGGCACCACGGGACGCTTAAGGACGCCCTGGCCTATTCACTGGAGGTTTAAGCCGTGTAGCAGGATCATCGTTCCCATTGTGTCAGGGAGGTTGCAGCTGCTACAATTTGCGACCGCAATAAAGGATACAGCCCTAGGTGCAACACCTGTGGGGAAAGGGGCCATATCCGATCCAGCTGCCCTAAGCGAATCGTAAAAAGGGAAGGTGAACGAATCTCCAGAGGGTAGTGCGGTTAACAGCACCGCCCATCAGCAACAGGGAAACAAGTAAAAGTCAGGACTGCGGGGCGGAACCGATGTTAAGAGCTCCAAGGATTTCGATCTCACAAACCCATGATGGGAGCAACCTAATCATCAAGAGTTCAAGGGCGAGGTCAACGGGATGCCGTGTAAACTGACCATAGACACTGGAGCCTCTCGAACGGTTGTCAGTTCCCAACTTATAAGTCCGTTCCTTGGGGACTCCGCACACAACCGAGAACGCATTAATTTGGTGACATCCACCGGTCAGCGCATACCCGTCCGTGGAGAAAAGGAGATGGAGTTGAAGCTAGGCAACATGATCTACCTACATAATGTCATCGTGCTGATATAATGGACGACTGCATTCTGGGCCTAGACTTTATGAGGAAGAATTGTAGTGAGATCGACGTTAAGCAAGGAATTCTGAAATGTGGAGAAGAGGAAATTTTCGTGGAAGGGGCGTTATCAGGGAATGTGTACAGCCTTAAGAAGATTGTTCTTCCAACGAGATCGGAAACGATTGTGCCGGTTAGTCTTTCTTGAAATCCTGGGCAAGCTCATCGTTGTATACTCGTGGAGAGGGTAGACAATGGCCTTCCATGGAAAGTGGCTCGAACCGTGGTCAGTACCACTAACATCTCAGGAGTACGTATGCTGAACCTTTGTGATCAGGAACAGATTAATAATCTGTTCCTGCAGTGTGCCCTTTTCTATAATCTGAGATTATAGAAAAAGGCACACTGGTTGGTACTTGTGAGGAAGTGGATTGGTTGTCTCGGTGCCAATATCTATTGACTGGGAGCCCCAGTAAAGATACACAAACGAGAGTGACCACCCTTTTCGAAGACTGTCGCAGCGTTCGTTCCCCGAATGAAATGGTCAAGGCGAAGATGTTGTTACTCAAGTACGCCGATGTATTCTCATCAAACGATACTGACATAGGGAAGATTGGCTTAGTTTAACACAAAATAAACACAGGAGAAGAATTCTCTATCCGTCAGCGGCCAAGAAAATTGTACGTGAAAAAGGAAGTGGAAACCATGATTGAGGGAATGGTGAAGGATGGTGTTATTGAACCTTTATCTAGTCCAAGGTGTTTACCCGTGGTGCTGGTAAAGAAAAAGGACGGCAGCATGCGATTTTGTGTTGACTACCGCCGTATGAACGACGTAACAAAGAAGGACAGCTATCCCTTTCCAAGAATTGATGACACCGAAGCTACAAGAGTAAAGTGGTTTAGCACGCTGGATCAAAAAATTGACTGCTGGCAAGTTGAAATTGACCCAAAGGACAAGGAGAAAGCCGCGTTCTCGGCGGGAAATGGTCTGTGGCAATTTAAAGTAATGCTGTTTGGATTGTGCAATGCTCCAGCAACGTTTAAAAGATTGATGGAACTTGTACTTACCGGGCTAACTGGCGATTCCAGTCTGGTCTACTTGGATGACATCATCATCGTAGGTCGTACGTTTGAGGAACACCTTCAAAACCTGGAACGTGTGCTCATGAAGATTCAGAGTGCCAACCTTAAGTTGAGTCAGAAGAAATGTTCACTTTTCAAACGGCAAGTTAACTTTTTGTGATATGTAGTGTCGGAAGAAGGTATCCGCATGGATCCAGAGAAAATCGCCGCTGTCAAGGATTGGTCGGTCCCAAAAGACAATACGCAGATTAGAGCATTTTTGGGTTTGTGCTCCTATTATCGGCGATTTGTGAAGAACTGCAGATATAGCCAAAGCTCTGCACAAGCTAAGCGCGGAGAAGCGACATTTCTACTGGGATGAAAGTTGCGATATCGCATTCCAGGAGCTCAAGGACCGTCTGTGCAAAACATTTATTTTGTGGTACCCTGACGCGCACTGAAACGCAAGTGATATAGGACCTTTGCGGTGTGTTGTCTCAACGGAATGGTGATCAAGAGGTTGTGATAGCGTACTTCAACAAGTCGTCAAAACCGAAAAGGAACTCACAAGACGTGAATTGCTAGCTGTGGTAAAGTCGTTGCAGCATTTTAGCAAATATCTTTTGGGGCGGAAATTTTACTTACGAACTGACCATGCTGCACAAAAATGGCTATTGCAGTTCGATAATCAAGAAGGGCAAGTTGCGAGGTGGATTGAACTACTGGAGGAATACGACTTTGTGATCTAACATTGCAGCGGGAAATCTTATGGCAACGCAGATGCATTGTCAAGAAAACCTTGTCCTGAAGATTGCAAGCATTGTACAAAACTGTGAGGATGCTCAGGACAGACCATCTCAGCAACGAGTGGAAGGACAGCTTACAACATGCACAGTAGGAAGATTCGGACAAGATTCTGGCCGATTCTGGAATGGATGAAGGCCAGTACTCCCAAGCCCAAGTGGAGAGACGTCTCAGCGATGAGTTTGACCACGAAATGCTATTGGGCCCAAAAGGACTGCTTGCTTTTTCAGGATGGAGTTCTGTGGCGTAAATGGAAAAATGGTCGGGGAGACAGCTGTCATTTGCAAATGGTTGTCCCTAAAGCTAAAGTATCGGATGTTCTACAGCTGTACCATAATGGTTGTTCAGGAGGCCATCTGGGAGTTAAGCGAAATCTACTGAAGATCTGAGAACGTTTTTACTGGTTCCACTGTCGAGACGATGTCGAGGACTGGTGTCGCAAATCTACAAGTCGTACGGCTGTAAAGGGACCTCAGACT